AAGCAGAATATACTTAGGCGAGAGTGTGAGAACAAATCTACTGATACAAAGATATGAGAACTACAAGTAATATTCTTCCGCACGTTGTATTTCATCTGGAAAGTTTTCCTGCGCGTGTCACTGGCACCTTCCTCTTATCGTTTGATCCGGCAGGCTGAGAACCTCGGTGTTAGTATCTCCCAACGGCAAGAAATACCGCAGCTGCTCTCTTTTGAGCCCAGCCACGCGCAAACTTTTGAAAATCTACGCCAAAATGAAAAGTTCTGTTTCGTCCATAGACGCCTACTAAGCAACAGTCTACCACAACTCCTAGATGGCTGGCCCAACAAGTTGTGATGTTCGAATTTCTGCGCCAAGATTGATCACTGATCAGAACCAGGGTAGAAATAAACTTTCCACCCGAAAGGTGGGAGAGCAAACAGTATCCGAGGCACTCGTAACGAACTGCAACCATGAAAGAGTCATGGGTCGCCTAAGCGAGGTGGGAATGCGTGCAGGATCCACTCAGTAGGGTCAACCGAGAGTCACGGAAGAATACAGAGGTCCGAAGTCCTTCGACAGGAGGCAGCAATGAGACAACAAGACGATGAGAGCCAAGAGCGCGGCTATTTCTTTCGACTTCGGGCGGACACTCCACCATCCTAAACCGATGCAACCCGCTGTGCGTTCATCTCAAGTTTCAACACGTCACAACAATACTAGGTAGAATACTTGGAAAAAGAAAATGAGGACTAATGCAAGGCCGTCGAGATGTGAACTTTAAATCAGGTGACGGTGAATTGATCGCGATCTACCAAAGATTTTGCAGTCGTTCGTCTTGGAAAGTCATGCACTAGTGACATCGAAAAAAACATGCGGACAGTCCGGCCTTTAGTGGACTGATGTTTCAATCAATCAAATTGCCTTCTAAGCTACGACTCCCGTTTCTTGGACCGCGATGCGTAAAGGGAAGTCTCGGAAGAACCCCACAGGGAAGATGGCTGGGCTGATGAGGTAAAAACATGCTCCATCACCTCTTGGTACTTGGCGTTTCTATTCACTCAAGCTGTGGATGTGGTTGCGCTCGTCTAGCTGCCCCACGCCTTGTGGGCCGTCGAGCTGTCATCCTAGCATTGCGGGTTGTAACACTATGGCGGGCCGGCGGTAAAATCTACAGCCCCTGGGCGTGATCCGTTGATCCTTGTAAGTGCATAGATTATGGTGCCTGGAATAGGGCGCAGGTGGCTTTGAGGCGAACACGAAATCTGGGCTGGTCTGTTCCATGGATGAACGTGGAAAGACTGGGGCGCTAGGCTGATGTTGGGTTTGACAACTGACAGCTGCATGTATTCAGCGGCGATCATGAAGACTTTGGGGACCAAAGGAGAAGTTCTCCTTGGGCAGCTGGTATGCGGACGGGGGCTGGTTTTCGGCGGGCGTATTCCAATACCGGACGGAGCCTTTGGCGGGGTAGGGCTACGGGGCTGACGGGGATCGTCGGGACCGGGGTGGCTGCGCGGGCGTGGACCCTCGTACAACGGCCTGACTCGCCTTCGGTCGTTTTTCTGCTCTGCACTAACCAACTCCTGCCGATCACAGCATTAGACGACTAACTGTACCAGACGTGTACATACGGTAAGACATCACCAAAAATCAACCGATTCATCCGAATGACAATAGCGAAAACGAACTTGACCCAGAATGACTGTACACAGTACACGAAGATCCGAGACATCACAGTATCAGCGTACGCTGCTTGGCCCAGGCACGCCCCGGTTAGTTATGGCTCAACTTCTCTTTAGATGCTGGAGGACTCCATACATGTATACGAGAACCATCGCAAACAGGCCACGTATCTAGTGGGACGGCGGGCAGTGGATACGGGGTCTGTGAGTTGCGTCTGGCTTCGAGTATTCCATACAGTTTAGTGCCTCATCATAATCATTGACGAGTGTTTTGCCAAGTTGCTCACGGAGAGGCTCAATGGGGATTACCATGCTGCCGGAAAGATGTACATGGTGCAGCTCATTGCACAGTTTCATACCATGCAAGTGAGCAAGCGGGCCCAATCGGTTTCATTCGAAATTCAACTGACAGAAACCTATTGAGCCGAGGAAGGCCCGAGACTCATCCTCGTCTTCACTGTGGTTGATTTTGTAAACTCTTATGATCTCCCAGGCTGGCTGTGCCATGAATATTCATTCGATTGCTACATCGTTAATTACAACAGCATTGTGACATCGACATATGTTTTGAAGGTTCATCGAGGTTGCATCCCGAAGAAGCCGCACGCGTCCAGCCCAAGCCAAAGAATGCATGAGCTGCAGTGTTGTAGTCAAACTTAAGTTGCTGTCGTAGGTTTAGCCTCGCAGTAACGGCCTTACCATGAAGTTACAGCGGAGATCTCATCGTTGTGGATGACTGCAAGGAAATGTATATTACCTTACCAAGCATTCCAGGTTGGAGAAAGCCACGAGGGGCTACAGTTGATGACTTGTGAGATGTGAGCTTGGAAATGCTAGGGAGCCATGCACTCCTGATCAACAGCCGGGGTTGGTTTATTTGCAAGATGTACAGTGAGGGCAATTGAATCATTTAGCAGAATGCGGAGATGTCCCTTCAGGCAATCAACAATAATATTTATCGTTCGAAGACTTGTGAAGCTAAACTCGCCTACAAATTGGAGATGCATACATCAACCCACGTGTTTGTCTGGTAGGTCTCATATCGCTTCTTTCCAGCTCCCTGCTGTGAACGTCACTCACTTCCAACCGATGGATCCAACATGCAGCCAGGAATGGTGAACACTACAAAATTACCTAGTATACATGACTCAACGTCTTGATGTATCCATTACATGACTACATTCTATATCATCCAAGACTTTACCATGAATATCCCCCTCAAATAGCACTGCTCTGATTCCCTAGACGTAACAAGGGTAAAAAGCAAGTACCAGACCCTCTTCAACTGGCACTTGGCGTAGGAGTTGTTGCTAGCGGGATGATGGTGAATACCAGCGGAGTTTCGATGAGAAGTTCGCCGGTTGAGGTGGACGCGAGCGAATTGGTAGAGCTTGCGGACGAGCCCAGGTCGGGTGTTGATGATCCTGGAGATGTCAAGTTGCTGGTTGTTTGTGTACTGTTCTCGGCTTCGCTTGCGGAACTAGCCGTCGACGTCTGAGGGGTGACTGGGGGCAGGGTATTGGATGACGTTGACTGCGGAGCCAGTCCCGAGCTGTTGGTTGAGGTACCCAGGGGGCTCAAGGTGTTGGTGGAACTGGAGCTGATGCTAGAACCTGCAGATACCGAAGTTGCGGTTGTCGATGTGGTGCCAGTCTGTCGGGTCGTCGACCCTGAAGAAGCGGACTGTGATGCAGATCCCGTACTGCCCCCTGTTGTGATAGACACAGGGATGCTGGAGGTGCCGCTTGTGCCAGAAGCTAAAGTGGACGTTCCAGATGCCCTCGAAGTGCTACTTCCTGCTGAAGAGATCCCCGCCGAGCTAGTGGAACTGCTGGAGAATAATGCCGAAGATGATACTATGGAAGAGCTCCCAGACGTCGTGGGTGATCCAGTAGAGCTGGTAAGAGATGATGGCGAAGACGAAGGTGTTGACGGAGAGAACGACGAGGACGAAGTTATCGATGAAGACGATGATAAAGCGGAGGATGAAGATAAGGATGAAGCTGCTGACGAAAATGTCGAGGACGACGTCGACGAAGACAGTGACAAAGCCGATGAAGATGACGATGATGAAGATGACGATGATGAAGATGACGATGATGAAGATGACGATGATGAAGATGACGATGATGAAGATGACGAAGATGAAGATAACGAAGAAGAAGATGACGATGAAGTGAGAAGGGATGAGGTGGTACTGGTGGATGACGGGCACGATGCAGCCGGTGGCGGGAATCCATATACCGTGTAGTATGCGGGGTTGGTATTGCCGCACGGCGAGCTTGGACTCGCCGAGCAAGGGACGGGACAACTACTATCAGCCGCCGCGGCGCTACTGCATGGTGCTTGAGCTCCAACCGAGGCACAGTAGCAGACGTTGCCGATGAGGGCTGCGAAATTCCTGTTTTGAGCCTGACATCTAGACTGACACGTTCCCGGATTGCCACCACCGATAGGTTGATAGACGAGACTGAAGACTGAGTTTTCTGAAAAGCAGCCGAGGTACTGGTACGGGCTGACTGGAGCTGGGGTGAGAGTTTGAGCGATAGCAAGTGAGATGAGGCCAAACTGGAAGGCGAAAGTAAGCAGAAGAGATGATCGCATGATGACTAAATGTCGGTATCTTGTCTGGTAATGGCGACGCATAAATTAACGAGGACCGTCTCATGCGATATGATGAAGAGATTGGTAGTGCAAAGAGAGAGCAGACGTTTTGAAAAGGGGATGAGAGCCGTCACCACGCTCCTGAAGTAGGCCACTGGTTGCTTACTTACGCGTCTGGTCGTCACAGAAGGGCCAATTTGGTTTCCAAGGGCCAACGAAAATGGTCCACTTGCACATTCCAGCATTTCAGTGTGCAGTCTCACATATTGTTGGAAGTAAGACAAGTCCCGGCCCGAAAGAGGCGCGCTCATCGGTATCATCGGAAATAACATTCCAGCTTGATATAGTGACGTTCTTCAATATTTGCCATTTGAATCTTTCAGGGCTCCAGATCTCAACTAGCCGCATTTCTTTTCTGCTCCGGCAATTTCCGCTCGGTTTCGCTCCGCGGTGCGATTAGATCCTTGGCCGAAAAGGGGCTGACTAGTTGTTCGGAGCCGGTGCAACGCCGGAAACTTTTGTGGGTCGCCGTCCGAACACCAAAACTCCGCTCCGCAAAGGAGCCCCGCACCTGCGGAAATGTCAATACCCGGAACTTGTTTCCTCTTTGAACTACCACGGTAATGAAATTCGTCTTGCCTGCGGGAGTAGATAAACTGTGACGATTCCTACGTCTATCTCTGCGAACTCATACTTCCCAAATTCAAGACTTCAAACAACATTACCGCGATAATGCCGGAAACAGTGAAGACCTGGCAGTACTCTGCCGTCAACGGCAACCTCGAGGACTACCTCGCCCTCAACAAGGACGCGCCTGTACCGAACATCTCCTCCCTTCGCCATGACGAGCTCCTTATCGAAGTCATCAGCGCATCGCTCAACCCCGCCGACTACAAGGTCCCCGCGACGCCTCTCATCGGCCGCCTGCTGATATCCCGCCCTGCGACCCCAGGGATGGACTTTTGTGGCCGCGTCGTCGGCACACACCCGTCGAACACCTCGTTCAAAGAGGGTCAGCTCGTTTTTGGCGGCTATGCCATGATCAACCAGAGGGGCGCTCTCAGCCAGTACACCGTTATCCCCATGGCCAATGTCGCGCCTCTGCCAGAGGGAGTCGACCCGGACCACGCGGCGGCGGTGGGCACTGCCGCTACGACCGCATACCAGTCCCTCATGCCCGACACGCTTCAGCCCGGCGCGAAGGTCTTCATCAACGGTGGAAGTGGAGGGACGGGGACCTGGGGCATCCAGATTGCCAAAGCCCTAGGCGCAGAGGTCGTCACGACGTGCTCCACTGGAAATATTGAGCTTTGCAAACAGCTCGGCGCCAATGAAGTCATCGATTACAAGACGCACGACGTTGTGGCGAATTTGAAGGCCCGAGGTACTGTCTTTGATCTCGTTATCGACAACATGGGCAGCACCACGGAGCTTTACGACCAGAGCAACCATTACCTGAAGGCCGGGGGAGAATTCGTCTTGGTCGGCGTTGGCGCAGACTTGTCGCTTTCTGGTATTTTTTCGAATCTGAGCAGGCAAATGCGCCCGGCGATTATGGGGTGTAGAGGGTTTTACTTCGTTCAACAGAAGAATGACAGCGAATTCTTTGGTCGGATTGGTGAATGGATGGCGGAGGGCGAGGCGAGAGCTGTTATTGACTCGACATTTTCGTTTGAGGACGTGCCTAAGGCCTACAAGAAGCTTCGAGAGGGGAGAGCCCGTGGGAAGATTATCGTTCATGTTGGAAACAGACAATAGGGGTAGGGATCTGGGAAACAAGTCACAGTTCTGCTTCCATGTTCTTTTCACCTCCAGATCGAGGTTGTCGGTAATGTTCTCACAGATCTAATCATGTTGGTCGAGTTTCTTTATGGAAGCTCATTTGATTGGAGGTACTGTTATTTTGTAGGCGCCCGAATATTTAATTTTAATAGTTTGATAAACTCTGCAAATTGTACAAAAGAAGTGAATCAAATGGCAAGTCCTTATAGCCCCAGCTTTTGGTTAATCGCACTGAAGAAGACTCAACGACGTAAGGGGTCATGCTCAACTTAGACGCAAGAGAAGCCTTCGCCGACAGTGCTGTTGCCAACGCCATCATAGACCTGCTTCTTCGGGTACGGGCAGAGAGGCCTCTTGAAAGCCGGTGTCACGCCGACAGTCGAGGCCATCAGTGTGTCAGGAGCCACACCGTTCTCGACCCACTCGCGCATGGCATCGAATGTGCCGGCAGGATACGCCCCGTTGCCGCTGAAGCAGTGATTCAAGCCAGGAGCCAGAAAGAGGCGGAAGAAGTCATCCGCATGCGCATCCTGTGCCAGGACCGAGTCGTAGTAGTGTGTGCTTCCGCGAACTGGGATCAAGGTGTCGGTCTATCCACAGTTAGTAGATGGAATCAGACACTGAATACCTAGGGAAGGACTGACCGTGCCGTGGTACCCAACAAGCTTTCCACCGCGGGCGCGGAACCTCGAGAGATCTGGGTCGTTTGTACCCATCATGGACTCGTAGACCTGGACTGAGAGGTGCGCCAGGTCGTCGAATTCGGCGTGGGTCATGTTCGCCGTGCTGGCGCTGGAGTTCTTGAGGAGGAAGAGCTTGAGCCAGTCGTCTGCGATTTCGAACGATCCACGAGTGCAAGTGCCGTTGGCTGTACAGGTAGTCGGGACGACGGCGACATCCGTGATGGAGCCGGTCAGGACTGCCTCCTTGGAGGGGCCAAACCAAATCGTCGTGTTGTCGGCTCTTCTTGCACCATCCCACTGCGTGACCAAAGTTAGTCTTTTTGGTCATGATCATCTCTTGGTCAGCTAGGGCCACTTACAACTCTGCGGACTATCTCAGCTGCGGCGGCTGAAACCTTGCGTTCTGAGCCAAACTCAGTGCAGTTAACTGTATTTCCAACCACAGTCGCAGGGTCGAAATCACAGCTGTCAGTGTCGGCTACCACACCATCCACAATACCGTCGGCTCCATCGCACGCCTTCAACGCCGCGCTTGTGATGGCATTGATCTCACACGCGGGAGGGTACTCGCCAAGCTGATCCATGACGAACATACCCCACATCCCCTGCATAGCAAATTGGTTCCAGTTGATCGCCGGAGCGCTGGCAGCGATGCCATCGTACGCATCGGGATAGCGCTGGGCAAGCTGGAAACCCTGGCGGCCTCCCTGGGAACAACCCGTGTAGTAAGAGTACTTGGGCGGCGTGTTGTAGAAACTGCCGATGACGCTCTTGGCAATCACGGCTGCGTCGTTGAGCGTGGTGGACGCCAGATTTTGCAAGAGGTAGAGGTTGACGTTGCCCTCACTGAGCAGGCCCCAGTTGACGGGGGTAAAATCAGATCCCAGACCGCCGTCAGTTCCAACTGTGGCATAACCCTCGCCGACGGAAGCCATCATGGCCATCAGTCCGGCCTGGTGCAAACCCGCCTGCCAGCCGGCGCCTCCAATGTGCTGGAGACGGCCGTTCCAGGTGTCTGAGGGCAGCCAGACCTGCACGTTGATTGTGTCATTCTGGCCTGGGTGCGTGTACGTGACGGTGACGTTGCAGAAGTTGGCGTTCTGGACGTTGACGGAGCCATGGTTGGAGTAGTATCCAGGGGGGACGTTTTGAGAGTGGTTGGCCACAAAGTTGGTTTGAAGAGAAAGAAACTCGGCACCAAAGAGGTCAGGGTAGGGCATGAGTGCGGCAGAACAAGCGCTTGGCGGCACGGTGCCGTTGAAGAGAGAAGGGATCATAGTGAAGGACTTGAGGTAAGTGAGCGTATGAATTATTCGAGAAGTAGATCGATGAAGAACTGCGAGTTCAACGGCCAAATCTTCTGAAGATCAATAGGCTTTATAAACACGAACATTGAAGTGCGGTGGCCAAGAGTTGCCCTTACGTAGACCGGATCAAAGACGTTTTGTGGATGATATCCAGATCAATCAACTACGACATCTCCTTGAAGCCAAGAGTCTAATTCCAGTAGCGCTATTCCATCCGAAATTGGACGGACAACCTTTGGATTCTCAGCATTGTCAACGAACTGGCCACTGACTTTGCGGTTCCGCTCTCGGACTAGCCCAACATTGATTGGTTTAAACAAGTCCCCCCGATGCGGAAGGTGGCGCAGTACGGAAATCAGCAATCTTCGAACTTGACATAAGCTGTGATTATCTGGCTCACAGAAGGAATTAACATTGAGACCCGACCCTAGTCAATCGCACAAGTTGACGGAATGGTGCCGTTGCGCGTGCATTGCTGCATGAAGCCCGGGCCCGCCATGAGCCAAGCCACAGTTGAAGCGGACCCTCTCGCACACAGATGAATGCGATTGGTCTGGCTTTGATCTCAAAATACACAGCTACGCTGGATACGCGCAAGCGATGAAACCAACTTCCCAATCTCGGGAGTATGGATAGTTGTTAACAGGATATGTTATAGTATTGGAGGTTGTCAACTACATATCTCCCTGTGTACCAAAATCCATATATTCCCACGACGAGGCCTACCTCTGAAGCTTGAACTCTCTCCCCTCAAGCTCACATCATCATTCTAATCATTGCACCTCTTTTTTCCTAGACTCCAACTCTGCCCTCGTTCACTTCGATCTTGTTGCCATTACGCATTCTTTCCTCAGTTGTCGGTTGTCTGGACTGTTGTCCCCAGGAAAAACATCATGGCCGTTCTCGAACCCTTCAGAGGCAACTATTATCTATGGAAATACCTTCCTTCCGTCCCAGCTGCTATTATCTTCTGCATCATCTTTCTCACAACTACTTTTGCATACATGTGGAAGATTTGGAAAACTCGCGCCTGGTTCTGCATCCCGATGGCTATCGGCGGCTACAGTAAGCTCAAGCACTTCCCCCAAGCTGAGATGGCTCGCAAGACGGAATAAGTTTGATGCTGACCCGTCATCCATCATCACAGTGGAATTCCTCGGCTACGTCTTCCGCGCCGTGGCCCACAACAAAACCGGCAAACTCATGCCCTTCGTCGCCTCGCAGAACAACATCCTCCTCGCGCCCGTCCTCTTCGCCGCGTCCATCTACATGACGCTCGGCCGCGTGATCCGCATAGTTAACGGCGAGCGGCACTCCATCATCCGGCCCTCGCGGCTGACCAAGGTCTTCGTCGCGGGCGACGTCATGGCGCTCGCGATCCAGGGCTCCGCCGCCGGCCTGATGGTCGTCAGCGAGTACGCCAAGATCGCGCAGGGCATCGTCGTCGCGGGACTCGTCTTCCACATCTGCGTGTTCGGCGTGTTCTGGACGACGGCCTGGACATTCCACTCGCGCATGAAGAGGGACCCGAGCTACCACGAGATCGGGCCCGACGTCAAGTGGGAGCAGGCGCTGCGCATGCTGTACGGGGCGAGCGGGCTGATTATGGCGCGGTCGGTCTTCCGGATTATTGAGTTCGTGATGGGCAATGACGGGTATTTGTTGAGTACCGAGTGGCCGCTGTATATCTTTGACTCGATCCCGATGTTTGCGGTGATGGGGACGTTTTGGTACTGGTTCCCGTCTTCTGTGGGGAGGAAGGGCAACTGGGTGCCGACTTCGTCGGCGAACGATTTGGTGTCTGGTATGGAGAGTGTGGAGTTGAGAAACAGCGCGAAGGCTTAGGGACGAGTCTTGGGTGATCACATAATGTTTTGGAGGAAGGGTTAAAATCGTAGATGGACGTCATGGAGAACCCATTCGAGATAATTGAATATCACTTTGGGTACTTGAATTTCAAAGAAACTCAGTCAAGAAAGTCTCAAGAACCACCGAAAGTGTCTGTCATTGAATCAAGGATCCTTGAGCCCACATTCTGAATCAAGTCGGTTGATTGAATGATGCTTCTTGGTATGTCAATTCCAAGTCCAGTACGCCGACGAACAGCCCGCTGGCCAAACATGTAAGTAAGCTTACACAAACAGCCCGTCTTATTCCCCCACAGCCACTGTTGTCCAAATACAGCACGGCGAGCAGAAGCGTCGCATCGGATTCCCAGGCTGAGCGAATCGCATTACAGCGACTGCGACAGGCCCGCAGTGGATCGACAATAGCTACATACGCGGGAACGAACACCGGAAACTTCGCCCAACAGCTGCCCCTGAAAGCTCTGATATGACCGGGTGACTCACCCACCGAATGAATGCAAGGGAACAACAAGCTTACACGCACCTAATCAACCGGATCCTTCTGGTGGAACATGCTGTCACGTAACTCTGTATTCTACACCCTGAGCGGCCGATGCTGTGCAGTTCGCATAAGGCCGTGCCATCGCAACGATGGACACCTATAAAGCCAGAAGCCCAAGACTTCCTTCATAATGAACAGCAACACCAACCTCGACAACTCGATCCATAAGCTAAACCACAGGATCAACACCCAGCAATGGACCTCTCACTAGCACAATCGTGCGTCCCCAGCACCTTCAGCCCCTTCCTTTTCGGCGCCCAGGTGCTCTCCCTCGAGGCAAACCTCGTCACCAACTACAGCGCCTCCGTCGCCGAGGCGTTCCGCTACGTCGCGCCCGCCGTCACGCTCGACAACGTCTCCTTCTGCAACGTCACCATCGCCTACACGCACCCCGGCCAGGACGACCACATCGTCACTGAGGCGTGGCTGCCGCTGGACTGGAACGAGCGCTTCCAGGCCATCGGCGGCGGCGGCTGGGTCGCCGGCCGCTTCTTCCTCACGTACGGGGGCATGCAGGGCGCCATCGCGGACGGGTACGCGACTTTCACCACCGACGCCGGTCTCGGGGCCGCGAATGAGCCGAGGCCGTGGGCGCTCAACAGCCCCGGGAACGTTAACCTGTACAACTTGCAGAACACGGCTTCTGTCTCGTTGAACGATGAGGTGAACTTGACGACTCTTTCATCATGAAGCTATTATTATTGATCAAAACTGACAAAACCCATTAGGCCATCATCGGCAAGTCCCTGATCAAGAGCTTCTACGGCCGCGAACCAAAGTACTCCTACTGGAACGGCTGCTCCAACGGCGGGCGCCAGGGCCTCATGATCGCGCAGCGCTACCCGGACCTCTACGACGGCATCGCCGCCGGCGCGCCCGCCATCCACTGGAACGAGCTCATGCCCTTCTCCCAGTGGCCGCAGCAGCTCATGAACGAGCTTGGCGAGTATCCCTACCCCTGCGAGCTCGACGCCCTCTCCGCTGCCGCGCTCGCTGCCTGCGACGGCCTGGACGGCGTCATCGACGGGGCTGTCGCCGACCAGCACGCGTGCCTGGCCGCGTTCGACGTCTTTTCCGTTGTCGGGCGGGAGGTGGAGTGCGCGCAGATGAACGGGACAAAGAAGGCTGTGAGTAGGGCCGCGGCGGTCGTGGCGAACGCGACGTGGCATGGGTACTCTGCGAAGAAGTACTACGGCGGACTGGTGCCGGGGACCGATTTGACGGGGATGTTGAGCATCGTGCAGACAAGCTGCAATGCCACGGGATGTGTGGGCGTGCCGAGTATGCTGGGAGGGCTCTGGCTTCAGCTGTTTGTGGCTAAGGACCCTGCGTTTGATGTCGGGCATCTGAGCCGCGAGGAGTTTGACGCGCTCGTCAGCTCTGGGCGCCAGCAATATGCTTCGCTGGTGGAGTCTTCGGATCCAGATTTGAGGAGGTTCCGTGATATTGGTGGCAAGATTGTTTCTTTCCATGGATTGGTATGTACCTTTCAAGGTCTTGTGATCATATCTATACTAACAGCTTCCTCCCAGGCCGACACTGTGATCCCGCCCGGATCCACGGAGGAGTACTACAACGCCGTGGGAGGAGTGACCCCAGACATCCAGGACTTCTTCCGTTACTTTGAGGCCCCTGGGATGGCTCACTGCTTTGGCGGCAAGAGTGGCCAGCCGAATAACCTCTTCCAGCAGCTGCGCGACTGGGTCGAGGAGGGCACTGCGCCTGAGAAGACACCCGTCAAGTTCAACGTCGGCCCAGATGAGACTCAGAACCGAATCTTGTGCCCTTACCCGCAAAAGGCTGAATACGTTGCTTCTTGTGGCGACGCGGCGATGGAGAAGTGCTGGTCCTGTTCTAGGTCGGAGCATGTTGCTGCGTCTAAGCATAGTGAGCCTAGACACCTCGAGCTGCGCTAGAGACGCGGACATTTGCAGGTTTGCTTTGAGGTTGGATAATGTTTTCAAGATAGGCGGCACGATACGTAATTGGTAGTTCAACTCATGGCACGTCAAAGCCAAGTTCTTGGTTCGGCCATTCCAGCCAGTCAGACCAATAACTCCCGAGGTGATTTGAGATGGTCTTGACGAGGAACCTCCCTGAATCCCCGACGGCCCAGTAGTCCCTTGCTCTATGCAACAAGACCGCGTAGTAGCCCATGGTGACGAGCGCCTCGGGGCGTCGTTGCTGCAACAGGGATATGTAGTCCCGCGATATTCGGACCGGCCACTCCTGAACGGCGACATAACGACGGGTGTCTGATGTATGCACCGTGTCGAAGAGATACTGCAGGATCTTTGTGGTTTCGAGGTACACCTTCTTGGTGGACTCGCTCAGCTCGCTTTCCTCGAGGCGTCGGAGAAGGTCCTCACACTCGGTGCCGTGGGACGAAGACGTGACGTCGACTTGGAAGTGGATGGGGTCTGTGGGGAACAGATCTCGTAGCATGTTGCTGAACTTTACCATGGACTGGGCAAGGATGAACTTGATGCCGAAGTGTAGTTCTAGGCAATGGACTAGCTTGTCCAGGACGCCGGGCAACGATGAGGCGTTGGAGAAGACGTCAAAGAGGACGTGTTGGCCGAGGAGGATGGAAAAGGAAAACAGGGCGAGGAAGTTGTCTTCAGTGACATCTTCGTTGGTGATTCCGAGTCGACTGATGGCGCGGCTCTGGAGGCGAGTCGACTCATTCTGGTAGAGAGCTTTCATCTCGGGGTCGTCGGACACGGTGCTCTTGTGAGCAGCGGCGAAGGCTAGAAGCTCGTCCATGAGGTAGGGTGCTTTCAAGGCTTGCATGTAGGTCACACGCAGAACACGTTCCATCTCTGATTGGCTTGATACGGTGACCTCCGTGAGTGGGCCCTGGAAGTGGCGGAGGAGGTCGAGGTGAAAGAGGCTGTAGGTCTCGGCGAAGAGGGTATCTGGTGGGACACATGGTACGGATGTCGGTGGAGGAAGGGATGGTATGGAGGCCGGAGTGGTGGCGGAAGATGGCGTGAAGACGATAGAGTCAGATAGAGGCGTTCCTGGGGAGAAGGCGTACGGGGAGGCACCCGAGTCTGGAGTCGACTGGGGACCAGGAGACGATGTCGTCGAGAGGTGTGATGAAGTCGGGGGCACCGGCAGGCTGCTCTGCATCCCAACATATGAGCATGTCTTCCCCGCCGTCCTGCACTTGACACAGGACGGCCTGGTCTCATCGCATTTGACCTTTCTCTGTTTACACTCTCTGCATCCAAGCCGGGATTTCTTGTGCTTCCGCATGTTGGGTAGCTCTTAGTGTGTGAGTTGCCGCGGAGCGCGAGTCGACTGGGAGGGATCGACAGCTGGAGAAAACGGGTCTAAGAGAAAAGGTCTTTGCAGAATACGTGGACTCGGAGAATGTTGCGCTTGAGAGCTTTTAAAGATCAGAGAGTCTCTCATACTGGCACTCGGGACCGAGACCGAAACCGCACTCTGAAGACGTGAATCCGCGGAACTTGAATGCGAACCAATAGCGTCCATCTCTGTCCGAAAGTATCCACTTTCACTGTGGCTTGCGGTCATTATCAGCCGGATGGGTTGACAGGGTATCCTTACTTCGACAACGATAGCCATTTAAGGCCAAGAAACCAACATACGTACTTCACTCGCTGCCTGCTGCAGGAAGACTGGGGCGAGCAGTCATTCTTTTCATGCATTGTCGATAGTGTTGGTTGTAGGAAACTCGGTCATAAAACACCAAGAAAATACCTTCAAAAAAGAAGATGGCCCGTGACCTGCGCTAGGCCCAAGGAAGCAAGGCCTCTTGGGCCGATGTGGGGTCAGCCAACCGGTGTTCAGCCGGAAGCGCCCCGCACCTCCAGGGTCCACACGGACCTTCCGCAGTGCAGCCTTGCAGCTGGCCCAGAAAAAAAATCTGGACGAAGCCTTCTGTCGCAGGCCGGCGCGCACAACCACTCCACCTACACCGTCCGGACGATGAGAGCGTCCGTCACGGCAACCAGACAATGGCGACAGACACTCCCTCAAATTCCGGCGACAGTGCCCCAGCTGTCCCTGCGCCCGCCAATGGCAACCAGAACGGTCGTCAGCGCGGCGGAGGCCGCAACCAGAACAAGCGGCACCCGAAGCGCAAGCAAGAGCAGGGAAGGTCGTCTTGGAGGTAGGTTGAACATCTTCTACCGCGAATTGTCCGTCGCTTTCGCGCCCCTGTTTGCCTTATTGGCCGTGTCTTGCTGACGAGTATGCCGGCGCAGTCGCGAGGCCACCGACAAGCGCGGACGCAACACCGAGTACCAAGAGTTCAAGCGCCGCAAGGTGAACGAGGACGGCGAGGCCGAGCAGACCGCCAACCCCTTCTCCGCCGAGGAGATCGCCGCCGAGGGCCGCCGCCCGAAGCGCAAGGTCGCCGTCATGGTCGGGTACTCCGGCACGGGCTACAAGGGCATGCAGATCAACAACGAGGAGAAGACGATCGAGGGCGACCTGTTCAAGGCCTTCGTCGCCGCCGGCGCCATCTCCAAGGCCAACGCCGACGACCACAAGAAGTCGAGCCTCGTGCGCTGCGCGCGAACCGACAAGGGCGTGCACGCCGCCGGTAATGTCATCAGCTTGAAGCTCATCATCGAGGACGAGGACGTCGTCGAGAAGATCAACGCCGCGCTGCCCGAGCAGATCCGCGTCTGGGGCATCCAGCGCACCAACAATTCCTTCAGCTGCTACCAGACCTGCGACTCGAGGTGGTACGAGTACCTCATGCCGACGTACTGCCTGCTCCCTCCCCACCCCGACAGCTTCCTGTGGAAGCAGCTCGTGGAGAAGGCCAAGGAGCACGGTCACTACGACGAGTTCCAGGCCAAGCTGGCGGATGTAATCAAGTACTGGGAGGAGGTTGACGAGAAGGACATCAAGCCGATCCTCGCCAAGCTCGATCCCGAGACGAAGTCGAAGGTGCTCGAGAGGATACACGCGGACGAGAAGCCCGAGGGCGACGACGCTAAACCCGCCGAGAAGGCTGCCGAACCCGCCTCTGCCGAACCGGCCGCAGAGACCACGGACGCCGCGCCCGCCGAAACCAAGGCGCCCGCCGAAGTCCCTGAGGGCAGCCTCAAGCCTAGAAACCGCGACCTGACCCCCGTCGACTTCGCCCTCCGCGACATCAAGGCCGCCTACATCAACGCCAAGCGCCGCTACCGCGTCACCCCCGAGCGGCTGAACCAGCTGCAGGCCGCGCTGAACGAGTACTGCGGCACCATCAACTTCCACAACTACACGGTGCAGAAGACCTTCAAGGACCCCTCGGCGAAGCGGCACATCAAGTCGTTCAAGGTCAACATGAGCCCGATCCAGATCCGCGACACCGAGTGGGTGTCGCTCAAGGTGCACGGCCAGAGCTTCATGATGCACCAGATCCGCAAGATGGTCGGCATGGCGTCGCTCGTCGTGCGCTGCGGCACGCCGCTCGAGCGCGTCCGCCAGAGCTACGGCCCGACGCGCATCGCCATCCCCAAGGCGCCCGGCCTAGGCCTGCTGCTGGAGCGCCCCGTGTTCGACGCGTACAACCGCCGCGCGCAGGACAACTTTGGCAAGGAGACGATCGACTTTACAAAGTACGACGACAAGCTGCAGGCGTTCAAGGACAAGCAGATTTACCAGCGCATCTTCGAGGTCGAGGAGCAGGAGAACGTGTAAGTTTTTCCACTGAGCCGTGGCACTTTTGTCGACGAACGTTACTGATCGCGCGTCAACAGCTTTCACACTTTCTTCCAGCAGGTGGACAACTTCAAGTCCGACTACTTCCTCTGGCTCACAGCCGCCGGCATTGACGCCGGTGCCATCATGACCGCCAAGGGGGAGGAGAAGCAGAAGACGCTGGAGGCGCAGATGGGTGACGAGGATGAGGACCCCGAGAACGGTGAGGGCTAAACGAGCCTCTTTCTCGTTGCGGATTGTTGTACACAGTAGATGCTGCATCACAATGACGAGGCTACACAGACCGTAGACCAATTTCAAAAAGCATAAATAGTTCTTTTCCCCGTCCTCGTGGGTATCAGCTAGTCCCATCGCAATGTGAAAACCCCCGTTCAACCCCCGAACGCCAATGAAATGCATCCATCCTATAACCTCCGTTCTGCCGCCCCGTTCACGAAGTACTACCAGGCTGCGCCGCCGCAGTGGCCGCAGCAGCTCCTCCCTCCGGCGCTGCAGCAGGCGGAGGCGCGGCAGCAGCCGCATCCTGCCTCCCGATCGGCGCCCACTTGCCCCCCGCCGCGGTCGCGAGCCCGCTGTACCGCGTCTCCTGGATGGCGTTGAGGAGCTCCGCGCAGCGCACGACGTCGGCCTGCAGCTTGTCGGCCTGGATGCGCGCGTCGCTCTCGCCGGCGCCGAGCTTGCCGAAGAGCCAGAGCTCCTTGAGGCGGCGGGAGAGGGCGAGCAGGTCTTTGACTGAGGTGTGCTATGGGTGTTTGGTGTCAGTAGATGTTTTCCTTTTCTTCTTCTTTCGAGATCACATTTCGTGTAGAATATAAATTGAGATGCACGGATGGAAGGGTAAAAGATTGACGTACCAGACCCTCAAACTCCATCTGCATCGACATGCCCGTCACCGCGACGGTCTGCGGCTCGGCGTTTTTGCGCTCGCCTTCGGCCTGGATTGTCGCGAGCATGGTGAGCATGCGGAAGCGCGAAAGAACGTCTGCGATGAGACGGTTGTGTGTGTCGAGGAGGTTGGAGGAGTCTCGTGAGGTGTCCATGGCGGCGGTTGTGGTTGATGTTGGAGGATGAGTTTGGTGGTGAGATGAGGAAGGAGCACTGAAGATGCGCGAGGTGTGGTGGGGCAAGATTGGTGGGGGACTCGGTGAGGGAGCTCGGGCCAGCATGTTGACCGAGAAGTCCCCTCGGTGAGGAAGGCAGTGATGATGAAGGAGGTAGGTAACTTCACTCCTAAGCTCACCGCTTTTGCGGAGAAAAATGGATGTGATTTTGTTCAATCTTGTATAATTAGTCTTGTGTCTCGTTTGTTGTCAGATCCTGAGCCAATGCGTGAATGTTGCAATCATCATTCTTAATGATAAACTTATTAATGTCACAAGTTTGGGATAATTGCAAGTGGCCGACACGAGTTCGATTCTCTACGCATTGGCACCACGCAATACCCAGGCCTCTTCTCAGATCAATCTAATCAATAATACTTTAATCTTAGAATAAGTGCCATATCCGACGGAGTAGTGCAGAACAGATGACTCGCTTCTTTGTCATTTGGAAGGCCCGAGTTGCTCTGTTGAACCAACTCGAATAATCTTCAGAAAATGACAAAGACCTATAACAAACGAGGTATTGTACACGTAGACGGTATCTACGGAATCTGCATGTGAACAGGACCTTCAACACCTTAGTCGCAATGCTAAAAACTGTTGCATTGTTCAAGTGAGGAACATCTGGCATTGTTGCGAATAGGTTACATCCCGGGCTTTGACAAGAGCCTTCCTTCTAGGTGCCTCCAAAACACTCCTGAGCAGGAGCCTACAAATACAATAGAAACTCTCATGCCCTCTAGGCTTCATTCAATCGTTACCTCAATCATCTCCAACATCGAGCCCTTCTTCACCTCCACAAAGACCCCAAAAACAACATCCCTAGACTCGGTGAGTCTCCATCCCCAACTATAGAACCCTCTACCTGTATTATTGTGTATTGGAAATATCAATACGCCAAGTCTCATCATGGCCTACCGATTCGAAAGTGACAGCGACAGCGAGGGTTCCTACATCGCCAGCCGATTCGCCGACTACGGCTTCACGGACGTAGCCAGATCTGCCCGGGGCAGGACCGCTGACTCTATGGTTTGGTACATCGAGAATCCTTTCTCCAACCTCCACATTACAGAGTCGAGAGTCAACGGGCCCACTGGGCCTTATGTTCACGTTGACAATAACATGGGCGAGCAGGTTATCGTTCCCGATCTTGCCGTTTTTCAGGGGATGTTCGGCAGCGACTGGCAGCATTGCCCGAGGTACGCCATTATCTTCAACACCATCGACACCTGCGAGTTCGTCATCGACCTCACTGACCGCGAAGAGGCCCCGGACGGACTCCCCACCCACCTCATGGCGCGCATCGAGAAGCCTCGCCTGAACAATCAGCTCTTGTGCTCGGCAGCGTTCCAGAAGCTGGCCCATCGGAAGTTGCCTTCACTCGTGCCCAAAGTCTGGGGTGCCGGGACTACACGTACCCGAGACGGTCTTCAGCTTCACTACCTCCTCAGCCAGCATTACCATGACGTTGTTCCTGCTGAAAGGTTCTGGGACGAATTCAACCCGGTCGTAAAGAAAGCTTTCTTGAAGGACATCGTTGACATAATGTCGGAGCTGCAGAAGATCAAATTTGGTGATCTGGACATGGAGGACTGGGTCATACTATCCGAGAACGGCCTACAGACACAAGAAATGGAAGACATACCCGCGGTAGGCAATTCGCAGGTGGGTTGGTTCAGTGACATGGCCACGTTCCTAACGAAGAGACTTTCACCAGGCAACGCCAGGTACGAGCTTGCAACCTCCAACGACGGGTCAATCCTTCTCGACGGCGACTTCAAGAAGGATAGCTCCATGCGCCACCAGGTCGAGTTCACGGCAGACGACCTCGCCCTCCTAACATATTCCAGCGCCTTTTGCCACAACGACCTCGAACCTCGTAATATCCTCATGCAACCACGGCAAGTTGATTTTGGCCCAGGCTATGAGCTTGTGGCGATAACCAACTTTGACTCGGCGGGTTTCTTCCCCTTCGCCTATGAGACGGCCATCAAGGACACCCTCCTAGGGCTGCAGAATCGGTGCGCGAGCTGGTATGAGCTGTACAAGGACACGACCCACCGGTTCCTGTGGGTGCATGAGAATCCTACGGGAAATGAGAGCAGCCAGGAGAAGCTGATCAGAGCCATTGTCCTTACTGATGCGGCAAGAAAGAATGCTCAGGGGTTTCATGTGGGTAATAGAGTGCAGGAGAAGTGGCTGGAGAGAGAGATGTTCGTGAGGGGGCGGAATGGGCAGGATGGCTTTGTGAGACCGGACAGCTTTGACAAGGTGTTCAAGCCTGAGGATGATGCTCGACTGGAGGAGGAGGCTATGGAGGAGCTTGGATACATTTGAGGTACAGAACCACTCATTACTTCTCCATAATTGGCAGTAAATTTCATCTCCCTGCTGATCGTGTATATTTCTTCCCTTTGTATCTGGTGCTAGGTCGAGTGTCTACTGATTAAGGTATCTGAGGTCTTTCAAGTTGAACATTCATCTTGAAAGGGACAAAGCGGCGACGAAGATCTGCCTCGATGTAGGGGAACTGCCAAGGGGGTACAATAGTATAAAAGAAAATAAACACCCAGAAGAAACCAAAAGCTCTGCAAAGTATTGAGTGCGGTCTGCAATTGCGCAGGCTGGTGTTCAGTTTGGGGGAGACCGTTTGTTGCATCAAAACTTCCAGAAACCCGGCCACAAAGTTCAAGAGAAAGAAAACCATGTCTCCATATATGCTTTCAACAGGAGCTGTATTCCTCGTCATCCAATTGGTGGCAACGTGGATTATTCCTGACACTGTGAAGACGAAGAACGCCAGAAACAACTTCTCCGCGGCGCCTTTGGGTCTCAGACCGAGCAGATTTCGAGTGAGGAAGCGCCCGTATGTCAATTGCGATGGGCTACCGATGTTCTGCCAGAATACACCCCAGAAGCTTCGGATGCTGCGTACTTTGAAGGGATTTCCCCAGAGGTACGGCCATTCGTCTGGCGCGTCTTGCTGCAGGATGCTGACGAACAATATGGCGACGACGGCATTTGCGACAGTGAGAATGAAGTATGTCAGCCAGGCCCACTGGAGACAGTAAGCTGTCCGCAGCAGAGTTGCGCGGTCGAGAACGAAATGTAAATAGCCTGGTGAAACGAATTCCCTGGGAGCGGGCCGTAGGGCAAACAAGGTGCCGACATCAATCATCAGATAGATGCCCCAGTGTACAAGAATCATACCGAGCTTGCGAAATATGAAGTAAGCTCGATGGCGCTGAGTAATGAGACGTTGGTGTCTGGGCGGACAAAGCGGTAGGCGACGAGGATTGTTCCACGCCTTGACTGAAGCGTAAATTCTCTCTCTCGAGGGGCCTCCTGCCCCTGATGCGACATCGGGTACAGTCCATTGTTCAAGATAAAGGCCCGACGTGGCATGAAAGACGTAAATGATTGACGTGAAAGCCCAAAGCCAGTCAAGTCCTGCCTTGAGCCTGCCAACCTGCAGGAAGCAGACAATTGGCCCAATAACATTGAAAGGTAGCAGAAACCATCTTCGAAGGCCAGGTCGCTGGTGAATGGTGACGACGAAAGCTGGGAGGGAAGTCAGGAACCAGGCCACGGGGACTAGTCCATGTAAAACGGGGGACAGCTCCGTGTTGAGGAGTAACTTGTCAAAACCAATTTTCATGACCAATTGCGCTGAATGAGGGCGAGTTCAGTGCCGAACGAGCGATTCTGTCAGTCGACGGGGCAATGCGGACTTTAGATCACTTACATCCAGTCAGTCTCTTCGGAATCGGCCTCCTCGTTGACTTGGCTGACGACATTTTCAGAATTAGAAGTGAAGTCTCCGCGGATGTGCCTTGAGACGGAAGGAATTAAAAGCCGATGTTGAATCCTTTGACTCCAGTCGATGAGCCGAAAGTTGGTTCGCTCGGGACTTTTGCGATGGCTGCTGAGGTGACAATCGCCGATCGCTGACAAGGATGCACGTAAATGGGCCAAAGCCAGACACTGAATTTCCACTTTGGCGACTGAGGATGTTGTGGGGCATGTCCAAGTCGAATGATGGGATGACTCTACATTATCGTTCTGGCGAAGGATGGACTTTTGAGTTTGTAACACCCTTAGCTGCTGCTTGTGGATCTGGTTCTTTTGCATCGGGCATAATGCAGCCAACCCGCTGCCATGATCTTAGGCTTCGATGTTTCTACCCGGGTGAGAAGGCTGGTGTTCAAATCCAATCTTGGCACGTTTCGATCAGACCATCCCATCAAGATCCGAATGCTCTTTATGAGAAGATTCAAAATCTCGAACTGGAAATTGATAGAAACGCATATGACCTCGATCTCAGTTGCCATGATGTCGTCAAGGAGTCACCGAGGCGAAGAGCATCGGCTATCAAGGCTGGGTGAAGTTGACTATGTCTATGATCTACAAGCCGGGTCTTCTAGAACTCTTCGAAACCCAGCGCATTGCCTTGCGGGATAAAACTCGATCAAGAAGGAAGGATATCCTGGGTTCCACAAATTCCCTATCATCGACTCTTCTCAACATGGGTTGCCCAGGCCCGAAGGAATCTCAGCACACTCCTTCTCGCTAAAGTTTCGCCCTACCAACCTTAAGCCAGGAACAAAAGCCCCCTTACCTTTGCCTCAAACATGCAAAATTGAATGCCTAAAAGACCTATTGCTCCCACACGTGGTCTTGGCCCGGCACAACCGGATCAGAGAGAACCAGTTTCGGATGAACTGAGGGACTGAATGTGGTCTCGTGTTCCTGAAGTGGATAGAAGGCTGACAGCTAGGTGAGTATGTAGTGGGCCATGGCAACCTCGCTCCGTAGGACGGCTGTCCCGAGATGCGGCCCGAGATCCTTGGCGCAATTTACCACACAGATTTATCATACCTGGAAGCGCAGCAGATGTTTGTGGAAGACAGTGGGTGTACCGTGTTTCACTTGGAAAGAAACATGGCAATGGAATAGATGCGGCCAACCACGAACTTACACCACTCAACTAAGTGCGTTGTCAAGGACAGTTAGCACTGGGTGCGGGTTTCCAATTTCCTTGGCACGGAAGACAAAAACACAAACACTTATGAAGACAGAAATGTTAGCAGATCAGACGATATAAAGCGCCAAATACGTTTAATTCATTGTCCTCGATACAGTTGCCTCGGCTTTTCGATTGGTGTGTTTCACTTTCAAAGGGCTTGCGTCAAAAAGGACTTTCACAATAACAAGTCAGGATAGGCTACAGGTTCAGGACCCCGCATGAACATGATTACCTCTGATTTCCGTCATTTACATGTAGATTGTGGATACAAACGAAGGAATCTTGGCTAGTAGGCTGTCATCACATATTCCAATTATCTGAGTGCCATCACACATCCGATTCTTGGCGTCGAACCAGGTCTCATAGACTTGGCGAAGGATGAGTGACATCTTATACTGAAGTGTCGAGTCTGCAAGGAATTGTGGAAACATTGACACACTCCTCTGCCAAATGCGATGGCTCAAGAGTCACGATGCTGAGAGGCCTTGCTAGTTTCATGGCACGATTCGGGAGACCGTTCATGGTGTTGAGATATCTCACCAATCGTTAGGGATTTGATTCCTCTGAGCTTGGCTGACGCGTATACTTGAGATTGATGAGGCTCTAGGCAACACCTGAATGGCTTCATCTCGTGAGAACTTCGTTCACGGCAGCGAGGCCCATGGAATCCATCGCCGATCTTTGCCAGTGATTCTGCCTGCAACTTGCGAACCGGAGCTGTCCATATCAACGACCAGACACGAAAGTGTGGACTATGTTTCTTTGGGTATTGCAACTCTATAAAAGGGTCGGTTTGCACGCTCCATAGACACAGTTCTTGTCTCCTCATCCGCACCAACACAAGCATTCCATACACAGCTCTTCACACTCAACCCGCATCACATACATAACCTTTCACTCTAACTCATCAACCCTCTTCAAACCATCAAAATGAAGGCCTCCGCTGTCATCGTCCCCGTCGCTCTCATGATCGCTCAGCCTGCTCAGGCTAGCATCGGCCGCGCCGGTGGTCTAGCCGCCGATTTCTTCGGCGGCGGCATTGCCGAGCTCTTCACCGAAGTCTTCGGCAAGCGCAGTGGCTTTGTCACCACTGTTCGCTCTCGCCAGGTTGAGGGCGTCCCCGAGTTTGAGTACCAACGCTGCCGCGACGACATTTCTGGCCTGACCATTACCGCCACTGCCCCCTCTGCCACTGGTAAGGCTCTCGATCACTCATCAACTTGAGCTCATGATTGCTGACAACCACCGCAGAGATCCAGTTCTCGGGCGTTCCCCCCACCTGCATGAACCTGGCCAACGTGCTCGTCGGCGACGGCACCGGGCCCTTCGCCCTCCCCTGCGGCTCTGACTGCCTCTCCTACAGCAACCTTACTCCTGAGCAGTACAACCAGCTTGCTGATGCTCTCCGTCCTTACGCCTAAATATGCACATGGCATTTGGAGATGGAACTGTGGGGAACGTGGTGCTAGTCGTTAGACACGGCTGCACTATCTAGAAGTGTTTCCTTGTATCTTATTCCTTGACTTCTTGCCGTAACGGAAGGCGGCATCTCAAATTTAAACACACATTCCGGGCGCCCTTAAAAATGTTTTCACTTTGCTTCGACGTGATATTGCATGTCTCCATGGAGATCCAACAAAGAGTGTGCTGCCTAGCCCTGACTGTTTGTTCACAAACCGGCTCTAGGGACCTAAAACTGACAAAAAAAGATAGAGAGAAACCTTCTCCAAGAAAAACATATGCAATCGAGAGGAAATGTGATACTTTACAGTACATATAGCTCATTTTGGAGCTGATAGTGAGAGCGTCACGACGAAGCCAGGTACCGTGTAGAACAACTGTAGAACGAAATGGCATATGTAAATATACAATTAGCACGTGCTGCTTCATACGTACAATCTTGCTGCAGGCTTCAAAGGTAAGAAAACCCCGAAAATCATGTGCACCGCCGCAATTTTATCGGCTTTTGTGGGGCCGGAGGATCGGCCGGACGGTCGGAGGGTCAGGACATTATCTCCTTCGACCGCGCTATCCAATGGCGAACGAGCCAGCCCATCAGGTTTATTGCTTACTTTTCGAGGGTTAGAAGTCAGTAGATTGCCTTCACGCACCGTACCTCATGTCGAGTTCATCAACTTCTCATCGGCACGAGTGATTATGGCTTCCCTTTCAGCAGTTGCTTCCCCCCGGAATTTGGCACAAGGGAGGCATCGAACCGCCACCAAGAAAAAGAATGTCTGAATCGCGACCGGTATCAGTGGCAAGTGGGCCCTCAACGACCACTGATCACGGAGAAATTGTCCATCGTCCGCGACCTACGGCCAGTCGCCGACGTGATAAGCCGCAGCTTTCTTGCAATTTATGCCGTCGCCGAAAGTAAGTCAAGAATTCCTTACTAGTGTACTCAACAGCTCATGCCTCCCTACTAGAATGCGATGCGATCGCAAGAGGCCATGTTTCAACTGCTCATCCCGAGGCCAGTTATGCGTTTATTCAGAGAACACTACGACAGTATCGTCATCAACATTATCACCAAACGATGCCACACTACAAGATCGCTTTGAGTACCTTGAGCGCTTGGTCATGAACATTGGGCCTCAACAGAGCTCAAACAAACCGAATGAATCGGCACGTCCCACCACAAATGCAGCCATTGGCACGCCCATCGACGACAGCTCTGAGACTGGAAGCCTCCGCACTGGCGCTGCGGATCACCAATACGTCAGTGGTGATCACTGGGCAGCCATTCTAGATAGCATTGCGGACCTCAGAGACCACTTTAACCGAGAGGAGCAGTTCAGGCTTGTTGAAGGCCCGGGACCTGTGATAGGGCGGATGGAAGACGCTGGTAGGAATGCGACTCCGGGATCTTTCCATCCACAACGAGCGCTTCTGCTGTATTGATGCAGACCCGCAAGATGTAGGGAAGAAATCATATCTGCTTTGCCACCCAAATCTACTGTCGATCGTTATGTCTCCCGATACTTCAACCATCTAGACCTAGTAGCTTCATGTGGGTGTTCTTCTTTCCCTTGGATAACCTGGTTGCTAATGATCAAGTGTACAGCCTCTGTCCATGGTCCCACGTTTCTTCAAGATGTATGTGACTTCCACTCACTGCGACATCAACCCCGTGCTACCACTGACAATACAAATCAGTATGAAGCCTTCTGGGCCAATCCCTTAAGTGCAAGCATTATGTGGATTGGGCTGCTGTATAGCATGGTATGCCTGGCTCTGATAGCTTCAGATACCAACGGCTCGGTACCCTACATGGACACGACGCATTACCATGTGAATATTGATTCGTGCAGAGAGAAGGTAGTTCAGTGCCTCATCATGGGCAAATATACCCTCGGCGGTCGCCATACTCTGGAGACGTTCATGAACTACGTCTATATCGAGTTCCGAATCCGCGAAGATGCTGAAAAGGATGTCTGGTACCTTTTGGGTATTGAAGTAAACTTGGCAAAACGCATGGGATATCATCGCGATCCCAAGCACTTCCCTGGCATCGCCCCACTTGAAGGAGAAATGAGGCGAAGGGTATGGGCGACCGTTCTCCTTGGCGATAGTCTTATTTCAGGCCAGATGGGCATGCCTCGTATGATTACCAGCGACCAATTCGATACCGAGGAACCAAGGAATTTGAATGATACAGATCTTCAAGGCAACATCTCAGAGTTGCCTCCGCCTCGCCCAGAGACGGAGCACACCACCGACTTGGGCATCATTGCAAGGAGACGGGTTCTCATAGCTTTGGGCGCCGTCTCAGATCTTACATCGTCATTGAAGCCTTCCGGGTATACTGAGTATATGAGCCTCGACGAGGTCTTGAACGATGCGAGGGCAAGGATTCCTCCACCCCTGCAGCCCAAGTCAATGGCATCCAGCGTTACCGACTCACCACAAACAATAATGGCTCGCTTGTTCTTGAGCCACATCTATTACAAAGGCCGAATTATGCTTCATAGAAGGTTCCTGTTCGCCGAGTCCCTCTCTCCCGATGACGACACGTTCGCCTATTCCAGGAAGGCTTGCGTCAACGCAGCGCTGGAAACTTTGCATATTCAGCAGATTCTGGATGAGGAGACCCGTCCGGGGGGGGGGGGGCAGCTTCATATCATGCACTGGCGAGTTGGATCACTTATGAATCATCATTCTCTCACAGCTACCATGATCCTGTGCTCAGTGGTCCACAGACAGAGAACAGCAGGGCGCGACGAGGAGATCACGGAAGCTCTTCGAAGATCTAGAGCGATCTGGATGAGCAAAAGCCAACATTCGATGGAGGCCAAGAAGGCAGCGCAAGCAGTCAGCATCGTCCTGGCTAGGGCGGGAGGTCCGCGGTTTGACATGGAATTAGTGTCTCGCAGCACGGAAGAGATGCCGATGGGACCGACAAGCTCGCATCACAAAGAAGATGGTGGGGAGATTGGAATGGTTTGGGGGGATGATGCGTGGCTCGAAGAAGCGCTCCATCTCGGCACAGGTGAGCTTCGTGGGGAGTGCGCACTGCATCATGGGCTAACTAGATGCACAACAGACTTTTCAACCATTGGAGCCCCATACGATCAATCAAACCCCGGGAAGATCGATGCATCTATGCGACTAGATATTGGAAGCTTTCATGAGGGTGCCAATATGGCGGACTGAATACTACTGAATGACAGGAACATATAATCGTCCTGTAAATCCGAATCGGCTTATACTCGAGCTCCACTATTCAGAGATGAACAACATTAGTCGAGTTTTGATATGGCCTTCCTATACATGACCAAGGCTCTTTCGTCGAAACGATTTTAGCCCTTTCAATGTCGTTTGTTGCAGCTGCGGTCCTGCTTCTTAGAACCAACCAAGTTCTTGAGGATCCGCCGGAACACCCATTCATAGCAGAACGATGCAGCGTTCCCAGCCCAACGGTTCCGGGCCGGTCAACGTCTTTGTGAATTGGTTGGTCAGTGGCGTCAAGGATTCTGCTAGTGCTGTGGTCAAAAGGAGGGCGAAAAGGGGCACTGTACTGCCAATGCCCCTTGCAGCAAGATTGCTCTTATCTGACACTGAACTGCCGGGTGCACAGACTAGGGACTTATTTAGGTAGATCAATCTTGCCCTCATCTTCTGAACATGGAAAACGAATAACGCCTGGAGGATTGCAACATGACTGTGTTATTATGATGCTCGGTCAGAAGTTCATGCGATACTAAGCATGACAATGACGAAGACTTAGAGACCACAACTTTTGTTTGCTCGTCTCTATCTATGTAAATCTTTGCGATCCTTTTGCAGATCGGTCTCTGATGATATGATAGTTTCTGCGAAATCTCGACATGTTTTAGCATGGCGGCTGGTTCCTTTAGTGGCCAACTAGTCTCAAGGAGTAGCCTGGATGGCTTGGGCATTGACGGGTATAACATGGTGTTGTCAGTGGTCCCTCAAAGGCCGGGTGTTTCCGTTAGCAGCATGCATGTTGTGAGATGGACGGAGTGCAGAAAGCCATCTCAGATGCATCGAAGACTTTTCATATACGAATTCGCAAACATCGAATGTCGTGTTCTAGAAGAGCAATCGAACATCGTCATACATACCCTTCAGGTCTGCTTTCGTAAAGATCGTTCACATGGTCCAGTCCTTTGGGACCGAATGCGGTGCCTCCATGTCTTTGAATTCGCGTGTCTGCAGACTGTGGCGGTCCACTCGAGCAACCGGCAACGGTCACCCGCGTCACAAGAAACACGAAGAGTTAACTTAAAGAGACCAAGATGCGAAAGACTTGGGTACTCGCGTTGTGGCCTCATCGAACTGTGGCTATGAAGATCTTCAGAGCACTCCAGAATACAGCCTAGCGCTGTTAAGCCACGACCCCTAGCAGCCAGCAGCCGCCCGCCAGCTAGCACGGGAGTCTGTAGCCGTCGATAACTGCTGGTTCCAGCCCTGAGTAGTTCCCCTGAACTCTGGGAATCCTCCCAACGATACCTTGCGTTCCTTCAACTCCACAGCTTGGTCTGCCAGCACCGGTCTCTCGCGGCTTCCGGGACCCGCACCGGCCTCTAGCACCTTCCCCGATCTATATGGCGAGAGGTACCTAGAGCAAAATGTCCAGATCGACTAGTAACTGAACTGGAGCTAGAGGTCTGGAGACAAGGGAATTTCAAGCCACAGAAAGGCCGGCGCAAGGAGCTCTCGCTGGTTTGTGGTCCCTGCGATTCTATCACTGATCGGTAGTTCAATCACTGAGAAGAATGTGGCGTCTGCATCGTCATTTGCGCACCCCTCTTTCTTGTCCCGTCGTCCTTCATTATGCTCGCCATTCCTGGGCATGTCCTTGTTCTGTGCCTGACTATCTCGACTACCGCCCGGTGGGATGAGACCCTGAGAACACCACAGGAAGGCACGAATTCGAGATCCGGGTCCACAAACGCACATTGCGATATCGATCACCGACAACAGCCAAGATGCGGTTCCTTACCCTTACTCTGGCGTTCCTGGGATTCATGGGCATGGCCTCAGCGGCTATTGACCTGGACGGTGTCCCAAGTTGTGCAGTATGCAAGCAGTCTCCAAGGCAATAGTCATCACTGACATGATTCTACTAGGTCAGCTGCATGATCAAGGCGCTCACGCAATCAACGTGTCCTGCCACCGACGCAGCATGTCTCTGCGTCGATCCAAAGTTCAACGCAGCCGTGGGACCATGCATCCAGCAAACATGTAGCATCAAAGAGATCCTGAGTGAGTGCATCAACGTTACAAACGCCGTGCTAGATAGGCCCATCTGACAAGAAACGCAGTCTCCACGAATGCCACTTGGTCGCAATGCCATTTCCCCCTCACGGATGAGAGGCCTACGATTTACTGGATCAGTGGCGCTGTGACCGCCGTCACTGTTGCCTTCATGGCCATGCGACTCATTTCCAAGGCTATGAAACTTTCGGCGTGGGGAGCCGACGACACCGTTATCTTGGTTGCTTTTGTAAGACTACCGGCCCGGCTGCTATTATTACAAGCACTGACACGTATCAGGGAATGGTCATCGCCTACTACATTGAATTGTTCTTCTGTGAGTAACCCAACAGCGGTGGACATGTTCTCACGAAACTCGACTAACGTCAATTTAGTCGTTCGCGCTGGGCTTGGCAGAGACATCTGGACGATTCACGACTATGATATTACGTACTTCTTGAAGGTCAGTGAAATCAGGCATCCACGCATTCAAAATGATGTGAGCTAACTCTGAGGCAGCTCCTCTACGTCTTCGAGTTCTTTTACTACATCGGTCTCGCCTCCATCAAAGCCTCGATTTTGTTCTTCTTCCTCAAGATCTTCCCGGACAACCGCTTCCGCAAGGTCCTCTGGCTGATGCAGGGTCTCAACCTGCTCGTCGGCTTGTCCTTCATCATCCTCTGCTTTTGCGAATGCCAGCCTATCAACTTCTTCTGGAATGGCTGGGATGGAGAACACGAGGGAAAATGCTTGGACTTAAATCGTGTCGGACTTAGCCACGTCGCCCTGAACATCACGCTGGACATTGTGATGCTCATTCTGCCCACCACCCAGCTCTACAAGCTTCAAATGGATAGAAAGAAGAAACTCGGAGTGATGGCTATGTTTCTTGTCGGTATCTTGTAAGTTTTGAAAACGCAACGTTATTGATGGGTACATCACAACTGACATCTGACCAGCCTCACCATCGTCAGCATCCTGCGCATCAAGACGTTGACTGCCTTCGCAACGTCACTGAACACGACTGGTATGGACACATCTATTCACACTGGGTGACTCTTTTGCTAACATGTTCCAGCCGATTCCGTGGCAGTCGTACTCTGGGCCTACGTGGAACTTGGCGTCGGCGTCGTCGTCGCCTGCCTACCTAACGTGCGCCAGCTGCTCAAAACGCTTCCCTCCAAGGTTATTCACCTGTCGACTGCCGTGGCATCCGCAATGGGCTCATCGTTGTCAAGCAGCCGCACGGTGTCAGTATCTCAAGTGTACCACGACAAACCGAACAAGTCGTTCGGCGACACGACGACAACGATGGCGACCGACACGACAATAGCTCCTTCGGTAGCAAGTCGCTCGCCTCGGGTCTCGCAGTAAGGGTGTGGTGGAGGTCACGGACTCATCTACCTATGTAGCGAATACATGAGAGAGCACATTCTGGTGCGTTTGGTGTTAAGACTGTTGGTTGCTGTGCCATCGTGTTCGTGAAAATTGACAGTGCCTGGTGAATAATGTGACGGCCGCTTGTACCCTGGCCGCGTAGCGTGAATGCCTTACCCTCGGGGTCTAGCGGGGAGAGACCAGCATGAACAACAGCAGTTTTGGTCATCGAAGAATTGGACAAACCAGTTTTCCAGAATGGCATTCAAATTGCAATTGTCCAATCAAGAAGACGAATTGGAAAATCTCGACGAACAATGGCTATCTGGTGCTGTTGCGACAAGGATGTTCGAGTCACAGGGCAGTGCTGCGTCAGACATCGGGTATCGAAGCATGCATCGAACCCAATTCATCGCTGTGCGCCCTGTTCAGTGACTCAACCCGATTCCCCGGGTCTATCGACCCAGTGATAACCGCTTCAAGACAGACAAAGATGGGAGACTAGATTGAACATCCGGGAATAATGCTATCTTCAGAATGAATTATATCTCTCTGTTTCACCAGGAGAACAGCATGTAGCTGTGTTATCTTGAACTTGTCCGCGGCGCCATGTGCTGTATTTCGGCCTTAATGCTCCGTGTAGCGGGTTTCATCCACCCATGACTCCCCCGGAACTTCACTCCGGTGTTGCCGCCGAAGTTACCCGTTCGCCACGTTGTGCATGTGAGCTTGTTTCTTCCTCAGTCCTTCAATTCAGACCACTAACTCTCAATAGAAAACAGCACTCCAGGTGGGATGCCTCTCGGCCCCGGAATCTGGCCTCTGTAAACCCTGCCTCCAAGTCACCAGCCCTGTAAGCATGCCTGCCAGGTAACCAACCGCACACTCCGCCTCATCATCGCCAAGCATGACTCACTCTCCGCCATCCAGCCGGCTCCCAATCACCGGCCGCCGCAACCCTCCTTGAGCGACCCCAAATGGCCGCTAACAAGTCGACAGAAGGGCCCTGAGACGAGCGTTCGGCCGCCAGTGTGCAGGGATTCGAGAGACGCCTACGACAACAGCCTATACCATGCCCAATCCATCCACACGTAGGCGCAACATCACCAACACTCGTCAGCCCAACACCAGGCAGCCTGTTCGCCATATATATCTGCCTCCTTCGCCGACGTTCTATCATCAGCTAAGACACGCACACATCAAGAAACGACAATAAGCTACGCGCCCTTGCGCCCTCATCCCACGCCCTTCGGCGAAGACCCTCCCTCCTCAGACTTCGATCAGCTTCTCTGGACACATCCCGCCCATCTCACTTACACCGATCGAATCACCCACCAAATAAATAAGCCTACCTCCCGAAACACCGCCACTATGGGTCTCTCACTTCACAACAGCGCCGATGCATTAAATCTTCTCTCCCAAGGCCCCTCGCAGGTCACCCACCCGCGCACCCACGCGCACTACAAAGGCGCGTTCCTCCGCGCCGACGGCTCTCTGTCATTAAACAGAGAATACGCCGACCAACGATTCCACCTCCTCGATCTCGTCCTCCACGCCAACCACCAACGACGAGCCCACAGGCACCGGACCCGCCGGCGCCAGCAGACCAACCGTTCCATCCAGCAATGGCGCTCTGACCAGACGGACGAGGGCCGCGAGCTCGCGGCCCTCGACGGAGTTAGAGTTCCGGGCGAGGCCCCACAACGGCGCCGTACCCCGTCCCTGGAGCGGCAGGGCGCCTTCCGGCTTCCCGGCACGACCAGGAGTCGAATCCAGCAAGACGAAGAAGGCCTCGACGAACTTTATCGCCTTGGTCTCCTTTACGATGATGAGCACCTCCGCGGCGAGGGCTTCGAGTTGGACTCAATCGTGCATCCTGAACCTGAGTACACCGTTCGTCCTGCCAAGCGGGCGCGCGGGAGTCAGGCTCAGCGACGCTCGTACGAAGATGACCTACAGCTGGCGTTGGACCTCTCGCTCGCCGAGCTAGGCCGCGACGAATCTTTCGCCCGTTATCTCTGTTCGCCTGACCTGGATGAGCCTCCGTCCGAAGACGACGACTCCTCCGATTTCACAACTTCGCAATTTGACTCCGGGCTCCTGAGCCCTCCCGACTCCGACACCGAGGATACCCCCGACCTGACGACTGATTCTGATTCCGATCGCTTTTCTCCTTCTTCTTTTACTTCCTCGTCTGAGCAGCAGCATTGGGCGACGGCGCGTCCGAGGAGTAGGAGAGGTTGTGCCGCTGCCAACCACGGCGTCTCCGACAATGCCTGGATGGTGCTGGGTGACGGCTCGTAGCAGGTCCGCATAAGAGATCCCCGCGCGCCATTCGGATCTCGGCTGTGTTTTTGTGGTCGGGTAACCCCCCAAACGGACTGGTCCTCATTAGCCCAGCATTTCCGGGTGTCGGAGCGCGCTTGTTTCTTGATTTCCATTTCTATCATTTTTCTTGGGGACGGTTGTGTGCTCGTGGTTGGAACAAGACCACTGAGCTCGCCGTCAATCATGTACGATTATTTTATTCAGGGCGCATTTACATGGGGCGTTATGTGCAACACATTAAATGAGAAATAAGTCAATTAGAGTCTTAAAGAGCTACTTGTGAGAACGGTCGGATTGTGACAGACTTCAAGCCGTACTTCTGTCTCGCGTACTGCTCATAGTATTGCGGTTGAAATGCTCTCATCCGGTTGATGAGTGATGTTGCCACCTCTATTTCGAGGGTGTTGGTGCCATTTTGTAGCCACTTGCTGACGTTGAAGCGATGAGCCATTTGATCGAGAGCACCTAGCGCTTCCCCATTGATCCTAGCCCTGAAAGACCCCTGGAACATATCGAGCTCCGTGTATGTACCTGTGTCAGAACCGTATGGTGCATCCGCAATTCCAAGAACGAACTCTGTCGAGTAGGTCGCGTTCCCAGAGACATTCTGCAATCCCCGGTTTTCCTCCCAAATCATGCTTTCGTGCCTGATTACAATGCATTTGTCAATATTCGCGCTGGGCTTGCTCTCCTTTTTCGGAGGTGCCCAGGCAGCCGACGATGATACTTGGCCGGTCAAGCAAACTCCCTACACCGATGCCGTACAATGATACCACTACAGCTTCATCATCAATGGACAGAGAAAGTTTCTCTTCGGCGGTGAGATCCACCCTTTTCGAATCCCTGTTCCACAACTATGGGAAGACGTCATCGAGAAGATGAAGGCCATGGGTATAAATTCCATGTCGTTCTATTCACACTGGGGCTATCATGAGCCCCTTGACGGAGAGTTGGACTTCTCCAATGGTGCTCACGATCTCGGGCTTCTTTTGGAATACTCCAAGAAGCATGGCATTTTCGTCACGCCTCGGCCTGGTCCATACATCAACGGCGAGCTCAACGCCGGAGGTTTCCCACTGTGGATTACGACCGGTGCTTACAGTAAGCTTCGATCGAATGGTACGAGCTACACCGATGCGTGGAACGGCTACATGTCATCAGTAGCCGAGTTGGCCGCCCCGTACCAGATTCACAAGAACGGAACTGTCATCAACTTTCAGATCGAGAATGAGTACCCCCAGCAGTGGACAAACCAGAACGAGAAAATACCGAACTATAATGCCGTCGACTATATGGAAGACCTCAAGGCGGTCGCGGTCAACAACGGCATCGAGATTCCTCTGACTCACAATGACATATCTGGATACATTTCATGGGCTTCGGACTACGACACTGTTGGTGCGGGTGGAAACGTCGACGTGCATGGGTACGATTCCTATGTAGGTCACAGGTCAGTGCAAATATTTGAAAAACAATAGCACTAACACAATCGGCAGCCTCTTTGCTGGAGCTGTAACCCAGACCAATGCAGCTCCGGTAGCTCCGGAGACTGGGTTCTTCTAGACTATCAGCCCGACTTCCAAAGGTCTTCACCAAGCAATCCAATGTTCAGCCCAGAATTCCAGGGCGGGAAAGTGGTTCCGATTGCTGGATATCCGGATGGCTGCGCAGACACCGTCGGTGCCGATTTTCGCAACCTCTACTACCGCCACAACGTTGACCAGCGGATGACGGCCTTCATCCTGTACATGACCTACGGAGGCACGAGTTGGGGATGGCTTGGCGTTCCGTTTCTCGGCACCAGTTATGACTAGTCTGCACCCATCGCTGAGGATCGGTCTCTTAGGGACAGCTTCTACGAGATCAAAAACCTGGCGCTGTTCACAAGAGTTGCTCAGGGTCTAGCCAAGACAGACCGCATCGGTAGCGGCAGCAACTACACAACGAACCCATCCGTCTCTACAACTGAGCTTCGCAACACGGACACAAAAGCGAGATTCTACGTTGTTCGACACACGGACTCGAAAAACGATGAAGGTGTCACCTTCCAGCTTCACGTCAACACTTCGGCTGGCCCTCTCACTGTACCACAGATCGCGCCGGCTGCGTCCCTGAAGGGCCATGTTGCCAAGATTCTGGTGACAGATTTTCCAATCGGTCAGGACAAGTTACTTTACTCCACAGCTGAAGTATTCACGTACGCCGTGATGGACGGAAAGCCGACGCTGGTGCTCTGGGCCCACCCCGATGAGTCAGGGGAGGTTTGCTTTACTGGTTCTCACCAGGGGAAGTTGCAGACTTGTGACGGTTGCAGTGATGTCCAGTTCAACGTTACTGAGCACGGCACCATACTGAAGTTCACTCAGGGCCCTGGACTTAGTGTCGCCTTCGTTGGAGACACAAGGGTTATCATAGTTGATCGATCTGGTGCCTATGCGATGTTCGCACCGACTCTGACTAACGATCCTTTGACTACGGTCAATGAGACTGGTAAGGTTCTCCCCTTGAATCATTCGTACCCGAGCTCAACTAACTCTGACAGTCTTGGTACACGGCCCCTCTCTCGTCCGCGGAGCACAAATCGTCTCAGATGTCATTGCGATCACCGGAGACACGGTTGAAGATGCTCAGCTTGAGGTGTTCGCCCCTTCCAACGTCAAGAAAGCTACTTGGAATGGCAAACCAGTCGACACGAAACCAACACCACACGGCAGTCTCATTGGGAGAATTTCAGGTCCACTGAAGATAGAGCTACCGAGCCTGGGCCCCTGGAAAGTTCAAGATTCTCTGCCCGAAGTCCTTGTCGACTATTCCGATGACGGGGTAGCCTAGGTCAATGCTGATCATCAAACCACGAAGAACTCAAAGAACGACGCTACCATTCCGTACCTTTACGCTGATGACTATGGATTCCATACTGGCTCCTTCATCTATCGCGGCAGATTTACTGGCGTTGCGGACGGAGTATCGCTTACCCTCTACGGCGGCCAAGCCTTTGGATTCTTGGTGTACTTGAACGGGCAGTTCTTGGAAGCATTCCCAGGCAGTCCGGGAACAAAGTTGGCCTCTGGCACGCTGCTTCTAGACTTCCCAGCAGACACGTTGTCGCAAAACACAACCAATGTGCTTACTGTAATACAAGACAACTCCGGCCATGACCAAGGAGCCGGAGGGGCCTTGTCAATCCGAGGGATTCTCAACGCAACGCTGATTGGCTCCGAGGGCTTCGACTCTTGGAAGCTAACTGGAAGTGCCGGTCGTTCAGAAGGCAAGATTCTTGATCCCGTCCGCGGAGCTTACAACGAGGGCGGGTGGACTGCGGAACGGCTTGGCTGGCATCTTCCAGGCTTCGATGACTCGAATTGGCCGACGGCGTCGCCATCGGAAGGTTTCGACAACGCCACAGTCCGTTTCTACCGTACGACTGTACCTTTGAACATACCTGCCGCTGTTGATCTTTCGGTTCAGTTCGAGTTGAAAACTCCTGGGGGCAACAGCACGACACGAGCCCTGTTGTTTGTCAATGGATACCAATATGGCCGCTTCTCACCGTACGTCAACTCGGCCACCAGATTCCCGGCCCACCCCGGCATCCTAAACTTCAACGGAGATAATGTGATTGGGTCCTTGGTCTGGGCGCAATCTTCGAACGGAACAAGCGTTGGGGTCAATTGGAAAATCACAGAGACGCGGGCTAGCTCCTTGGACACTCATTTCGACGCCAAGGACTTGCAGCCAGCGTGGGGGGAGGAGAGGCTGCTTTATGCTTAGGATTGTTCTTCACGCGGAAGCTTGCTGGCAGGGCATTGGAAGTCAACTTTGGAGCACCTCAACGATGACACCAGTTCTTTTCATAGACTCTACTTCGCATGCAGCGCAGTCGTATCGTTGGCAAGACTTTACATTTTTCGGGGAGCTTAGACAGGCAGAGACACATCCATGAGACTGTTGGTGGCATAGTAGGCCTTCACAAGGACCGGACAGGGGTAAGTGTTGCCAAGCAATCACTGCCTAAATTAAAGGGATGGAGGCCTCGCAGCGAAGTTTTCATCTTTCCTTCAGCATCATGTCTTCCCATGAACCCGTTTCTACATTGTCACAATGTCAAACTCTGCTACTGAGCCCACATCGTCGGTTGCACCGTCCTTACCCCCGCTGGAGACGTTCATCGATCGCCGAAACCCTCAACCCATTTCTCTAAACTTGGGGTTCAACCGGTTCCGATGGCCTGCCTTTGCTTCGCTCTATGAGATCAAATTGCTCCGTGACCCAACCAATGCGGACTCTGAACAGGACCCGTACCAAACCCAGGCTGGAGAGGGTACTTCCTCGCTACACCCTATTGCCATCGAATTGTACACCGATCCTCCCATATCCTCGTTGAAGGCTTCAATCGACCTTCTCGACCATTATGGCAGTCGCGATGCGTGGGAAGACCTTCACACGGTAGATCGCCCGGAAGATGACACTGAGGTGCCATGCGAATGCTGCGGTCGGATGCCGTATCGACCCCCAGAATCACTGATTATCCGCGCAACCTCGGATGCTGGCGTGACCATCGGAGACATTGTCTTCCAGGTGAACAAGTACGTGAATGACCTGCAAAAGGATGTTCTCGAGGCCCTGGATGCTGTTGGAGAGTATGCCGGCCAGAGAAGCCCGAGCCACTCTTTCTGGACTGAGTTCTGCATCAACAACATCGGTATCAAAGAAGCGCGGTCTTCTGAAGAACTGGAAAAGAACTAGAAAGATGTTGCAGATGTTATGCGGGGTTTCGCTTCGGGTCAGCAGTTCCAAGAGATGAAGAACCGCTTAGAAGTATAGTCGACTGCGTCCTTTGAACTGTACACAAATACACCAAAGCAGGGGAATGACGGCGCTTAGCAAAATAGGAGAAACTAGAAGAAAGTTTCACTAAGATTACTATTCAACAAGGCTGAGCTAGTACCAGGCTGTGCGCGGTTCGAATAAATGGTGACCTCAGACATCATCAGAACCACGAACTGCTGACATATAAGGCTTCCATCCCACCAGGTGAGAAGGCAATATAACCAAAAGAACAGCCTCAAGTAGACCTTGCCAGAAGCACAGTCCATACCACAATCATCAAGATACAAGCTACGTGATACTGCATATGCGTAGCGTCATTCTCTTGCCCCCCTCCATCTTCGTTCTCGTCCACTGGCAGCTGGGTAGTGTTCGCCCTCATACAATGAAGCTGGGTTTCTCCAAGACTTCTGTTTCCAAATCCATGACTGATCATGAGCAGTTGAAGAGAATTCGCCGCGGCCAAGTATATATCCGTGGCATTAGCTCCAGGGATCACTCCGCTATGAAGGCCCATGAATCCCTTCCCGCTAGTTATGCCAAAGGTTCTGTTGCGTTCAGCTGACGAACTGGCATTTGGTGAGTTGGACGGATCCGGGTTGAGGTTTGCTGTTGCGACGCCGCCGCCAAAAGTGCCGCTGAACAGTTTCAAGTCTAGGCGTTCCTCCACGGCGTATCCGATAGTATTATTGCACTCGGGAAGCGTGCCCCACGACTTCTCTGGTTGGTTGCATGTTATTCCTCTGCTGAAGTTGCTGCCTTCTCTGAGGATGGCCTGTACGCAGGCTTCTCCCAAAATTGGCGTGCAGTCAGTGCTGTTGGTATTTTCATCCGTATAAAGGTTGGTGACGTTCGTTGGGTATGCCACGATGTCCAAGATGGACACGCAAAGCGGTCCTGTTGAGTTGCCCAAGGCCTGTGAGATATTCCCACCACTGGACCACGCAAAGTCCCAGGTTGTGCTGACGTAGGAAGGGTTTTCGACGGGCTGCTCGGCCCCGGTCACCGCATCAGTGACGTTGATTCCCGAGGGAAAGGCGAATTCCGTCACATTAACTCCTGTTGACTTTTTCAGTACTATCTTCGTATTCAACTCTCAGTACCACTTACTCCAAGTCCAGTAAGGGTCCCTCCCGTAGACCTTGGGGCTTATGAGACCCGAGAACGGGACGAGTTTGACGGACCGCATAGCTTTCGGGTTGTTAATGGCTTCCCGGTAGATCTCATCTGACTGGTTGTTGTTGAAGAACGGGTCACTCCCGAATGGCCCCAAATCAATTTCCCTCCCAGTCCAAAACTGGTCTGCAGCTGCAGCTGCTTGAACAGCGATGAGAATAAGGGTAGCGTGCGGCTGCATCGTGCGTTTTTGTAAGACTTTTAACAAAGCTTCGATGACAGAATTATAAAATGGACAAACTTTCCAATCTGATATTGGTCGAAAGTGCGAACAAAAGTCTATTTCTATAGGAAGAGGTTATGTTCAACTTTTGCTTCATTGGGGAAAGGATTGGGCGATCTTATCGGTCTCAAATCCGAACTGCATGGTGGACGGGTGCGTTATGTGACTACGTATGCCAACTGCTTTTGTCTCACTCATGGCACAAGTTCTCGGCATCTGAGGCCGCCTAGGCAGGAAGAATTAAGGCAATATGCTACAATTTACAAGTCTTCTTCAAATGATTGGATATTGCAGTTGGGTGGTCAGCTTAGCCACCAAGCCACAGTCGCTCGAGGAAATGCTGCATAATTTCTGATCTTCCCGATTGGCACCCAAACAGCCTTGAAGTGCGCCGTGTCGAACGCCACAGGCACAAGGCGCATTGCTAACATGCACTGTCTTGTAGCTCAAACAGCAGACAAATTTGTTGGCCAGGTTTGGCCAAATGTGCGCCACATCGGAAAATGCATCAATCAGCCATTTGAAACTCTCAAGTGAGGTTATTCGCAGATTTAAACTCGACAAAGACTTTGCCGTATTCGCAATGGAAGTGAATAAGTATGCAACTATCTTCTACCAGACGTCAGAATGCTTACCTTTTCCTTATCTTCTTCCGGTGTAAAGCGTCTACAACTGTAGTGTAGTATTTAGGGATTTTAAGGATGTCATCTATGAGCGTCACTGTCCGTTCAGTAAGCGAAGAAGCTCATATTAATTCACTAGCATCTTAGCACATTTTGGTAGCTAACGTCGGCGCATAATTGTTTTTCTCTGTCGTCGATGCTGTTTTGGAGTTCTGAGGACGATGGTCATGACCACCTCACGCTAACCCCGCAGCTAGAGTTGAAGACGGCGGGTGGCAAGGGGCAGGATGCGACTGGCGGCCGTGCCGCGAATACGCGAGTTTGGACGACGTCACAGACTTTCGGACCCCTCTGTCCAAGGTCGACTTCACTCGCTACTTTCAACCTATCACCATCTACGCAGCATGACATATTGCTGACCGTGAAAGTCATCGAGTGAGTGGGAGCAAAATAATAAGAAAGCAACAATCATGGCTATTGGCAACCGTTCCTCGTCAACGCCTCAAACACTGAAGGTCAGCGATCGAGCTACCTGGGCTGAGGCGCTCAAGACCGATCGGCCCATCCTCATTCACCTCAACGCCGATACCACATGGCTCATTCAACTCCCATACCCTGACTCCGACACAGCCCCCGACGGACGGAAGCGCTTCAACATACTTCTCGACCCTTGGCTGCAGGGTCCTCAGTCCGATGTGGCGTCTTGGTTCTCGACACAATGGCATCTCGTCGAGCCCAGCGTCAAGACCATAGCCGAGCTGAACTCATTGCTTGCCAGCCTCGAAAGCGAATCTGATGGATCGGATGATGCCGAGAAGTCTTACATCGATGTAGTCGCCATTTCCCACGAATTTACGGACCACTGCCATCAAGCGACACTAGAGGAGCTACCCAAATCTACACCGGTATTTGCAACCGACAAAGCAGCCGATCTGATCCGGTCGTGGAATCATTTCGATTCAGTCACAACAACCCCAGCATTTCCTTCATCAACCGAGGACTGGAGGGAAACTCTCAGCGTCGCTGGTTTGCCACCTTGGCTGGGTATCGGCCGCGTCGTTACCGCAGGCAACGCACTCTATTACCACTCGGCCGTCATGATTGCCTTCGACCTTGGCAAGCCAGAAACAATCCTCTACTCACCCCATGGCATCCAAGCCTCAGACTTGACGTCTATTCGTGAGTCAGGATTCACGACGCTAGCTCTACTTCACGGTCTTCACGATGTACGCATTTGGATGACGAAGCAACTAAATCTGGGAGCATTGAATGGCATCCAAGCGGTCGGAGAAACTGGGGCAAAATACTGGATAGCGACGCACGACGAAGTCAAGACGGGCGGCGGGCTTATTGCTCCTCTTCTCGTGAGGACGCGATACACGCTGAGAGAAGCCGTGGAAGCCGAGGGAAAGCGGCTAGGGGATAAAGCTCCTGATTATGAGTTTGTGGAGCTGGGTTCTGGAGATGGCCTCCTGTTGAAATGAGTGATGGAACGGAAAGCTTGAACTGGTCTTTTCAGCAACGTCAAGTGTCATTAATCTTGTGCGATAACATGAAGTCCGCGACTGAACTCAAACGGCTCACAAGGCCTCACTACAACGTTGAGATGTTGGCGTTCGCTCGTTCATCATAGATCCAGGCAGAAGAATATTCCGTCCAGTTCGATCTGTTCGAGCATCCAATGCTGCTTCAATTCCAGTTCTCTGTGCCCAAATTTCCAAGCACCAGATGTTCTTGATCTCAGGCTATTGGTGTGTAGACCTGTGATCCAGTGCCGTTAATACCAGTCCGTAGCAGTCTGCAAGCGAGTGGAAATGGTTAGCGCAATTACTAATGTAGTACATCCTCGATCAAGGGACCTTTGGAAAGTCCGTCAAAACTTGGATTGCGCGCATTTGCGCGTCGGAGTTGGGAACGTGTACATGACACCCAATACACTAAGCGACCTTGGCAGCCTTCGGCGCAGTTGTGCTGGCTGACCAGACCGTCATGCATGCATAAGTAACACCACACTACCTCAACCATATCCAATGAACTGAGATTGTCGGTCACCATCTCTCTGCCAACCAGGGAACGATTTGGATAAAGCTCCTGCTGCATTAACGGCGCCATTACATTTATGGCTGTCAAATTGACCTCTGCCAGGTGCATCATCCTAGAAATTTAATCGAACTCGAGCCAAAAGTTCAGTCTCAGAGATGACATATGTTTTGTCTTGGGACGATGATCGTGAAAGTTTTCCCGATGTTTCGTCTGTTGCAACGGAAATACAAATGTCTTATCTGGGATCTTTCGGCACGTCAAGTTTTCCAATGCTGAGCAGCGATACTTGGATGACATTGCCTTGCGATATGTGCACCCTCTTCCTGTGTACTCACCGGAAACTCTTTCACTCATTAGCAGTTTTCACTGACTCTTGTTTTCATACAACCGTTCTTTTCCAAACGAACGTTGACTGTAAATAGGATTGTGGATAAAAGCAAACCTCCTTGGGATGGTACTTGTGAAGGCCACAAGAGCTACATTAGATGACAGCCACATTAGATGACAGACAGCACATATAAAGCCTTCACAATATAACCAATACGCATGTTTCGTGTACCTTTGCTATAGGAAAACATATGGGAAGACGATTTGCATTTGAAAATGAAATCAGTTGAAGACTTGATCTTCTTCGAGAGGTTTTATCACCCATGAACAAAGCTGATGCAGTTGTTCACGTTGTGAACCATGGCACAATGGTTCTAGATTGTAGTCAATAAAGGCTATCCGGATTATTCTGGCCATGGCTCCTGACTTTTACCTGAGTATGTTGAGAAAGGGTTTTAGGCAGAAATGCTGCCTCCAATTCGGCCATGTCAGCGGTAGCTTCGCCTCACTCTGTTTGTCATCGGCAACTCGGTGTGAGCCCGCCTCTTCCTTTTCAGGGGCCGCTGACCCCCGACTCACCTTCTTCAGCAGGCTGCGAACGGGCTCTCCGGACTTTTTGCAGCAATCGTGAGTCAATTGCGACCAAAGCTTGCGCAAAACTGACGAAGAAGCATCCCACTGCCTTGCATCGGCGACTGGTGATGCCGTCTCATGATAAATCCTGCGCAAGGCCGCTATTAGAGACAAGGGCATACGCTAGGACGATCTGCCCTATCACCGTGGCGTCAGATCATTCCTTGTCCAGCCGACACAATCTGCACGTTCCCGCCACATGTGTGCTCGCCTTCTCATTGGACAGAGCTCAAATGCATTCGTGTATTTAACATACAAAAACCCATGTTTCTTGCCGCGTATCCCATCACGTAAGTGCCCTACCACCCTCGTTAACGTGGATATTATTCCATTTTCTTTGGCTTCGTCATAACAGAAATACTGAGAATGAAGCTTCTTCATATCGATACTGGTCAATTGCATATCTTCAACTTCCCTCCACCTGTGCCTTACGCCATTCTTTCTCATACGTGGTCATCGCCAGCCGATGACGAGTGGACCAAGTACGACAACAACGACAACACCAACGCTCTTATCAGGACCGCCAAATCCGCGATCCACGTCATCATTGAAAGGTTTTGCCACATTGCGCGGACTCAGAATTATGAATACGTCTGGATCGATGCCGCCTGCATTGACAAAGCTTCTAGCGCTGACGTCTCGGAGAACATCAATTCACTACCCGGGTACTTGAGGAGAGCTGGCGTTTGCATCACGTTCCTGGCCGACCTCCCGTGCGGGCCATCCCTGCCTTGGAAGGATACCTGGGCTCACTGCCAATTCTGGAATCGGGCTTGGACACTTCAGGAGCTTCTTCTACCGGTCAGAGTCCAATTTTACGATGCTCAGTGGCATCTCAGAGGTGAGCGGGCGACGGCACCGTTGCCGGCGTTGATCTCCGTGACCACTGGCATCGACCAGGACATCCTAACTCAACAGCGGGGCTTGTGCGAGACAGCCGTCGGGCACAGGATGACATGGGCATCCCGTCGTAAGGGGACCAGATCTGAGGATGTCGCATATTCCCTATTAGGAGTCTTCGATGTTCGCATGCCCGCTGGGTATGGAGAAGGGGCACGCCGTTCCTTCCTTCGTCTTCAGGAGGAAATTCTCAAATATTCCAACGACGCATCACTGTTTGCCTGGACCAGCCACGGCAATGAGAGCAGTCGAGGGATCTTCGCCGAATCTCCTGTAGAGTTTGATAACTTCAGCGAGTCACCTGCAGCTCGTGTTCCTAGCGTCTTCCGTGGTTTTGCAGCGTTGACTAGCAACGGTGTGCTCGTTGAGGGCCAGGTTACCAAACACGGCGAATCCGTTTTCCTTGATCTCGGTCTACAGCTCCATGACGAT